TAGTATTGTTTTGTGGTTTTCTTTGTGTAGGTCTTTTGTTTCTCTGGTTGGTTAGATTTATTCTCAAGTATTTCATCTTTTGGGTGACTATTGTAAATAGTATTTGTTTCCAGATTTCCTTTTCAGAGCTTTCTTAATTTGTGTTAAGGAGTCCAGTTGATTTTTGTATGTTGATCTTGTACCCTGCCATTTTGCCAAATTTGTCAATGAATTACAATAATTTTTGCTGAGGCTTTGGAATTTTGTAAGTATCGGATCATAACATCACAAATAAAGGTATTTTTTCTAGTTCTTTTGTGCCTTTAATTTTGCTTTCTTGCCTTATGTTGTTGTCAGGTACTGTCGAGTCGGTACCAACTCATAGCAACCTTATGTACAACAGAACAGAACAGAACAGAACAACTGCCCGATCCTGAACCAACTTCACAATCTTTGCTACAGCTGGACCCATTGTCGCCGCCACTATGCCAATCCATCTTGTTGGGGGTCTTTCTCTTTTTCACTGACCCTCCACTTTACCAACAAGTCCTTCTCCAGGGACTGGTCTCACCTAATAATATGTCCAAAGTATGAGAGATGAAGTCCGGTCATCCTGGCTTCTAAGGAGCATTCTGGTTATACTTATTCCAACACAGATTCGTTCATCTTGTGGCAGTCCATGGTACTTTTAATGTTCTCCTCCATCACCATTGCTCAAATACATCAATTCTTCTAAGGTCTTCTTTATTCATTGACCAACTTTCACATGCATATGAGGTTATTGAAAATACCATGGCTGGGTCAGGGCGCACCTTAGTCCTCATACTGACATCTTTGCTCTTGACAGTTTAAAGAGGTCTTGTGCAGCAATGTTGCCTAATGCAATATGTAGTTTGATTTCTTGACTACAGCTTCTATGAGTGTTGATGGTTGATAGGAGTACAATGAAATCTTTGGCAACTTCATTCCTATCTCCATTTATATGGATATTGTTTATTTGGTCCAGTGGTGAGGATTTTTGTTTTCTTCCCATTGAGGTGCAACCTCTTTGGCTGTGGTCTTTACTCTTCATCAGAGAGTGTTTTAAGTCTTACAGCTCTGGCTAAGACTTCCAATACAATTCTGAGTAACAGTGGTAATAAAGGGCATCCTTGTCTGGTTTCTGTTTGCAAGTGGAATGGCTTCAGTTTCTCACTGTTGAGAGTGGTGATGGTTGTTGGTTTTATATATATACCATCAATTATGTTGAGGAATCTTCCTTCTATTCTGATTTTGTTGGGTATTTTTATCAGATGCTTTTTTGCATCAATTGCTATAATCATGTGATTCCCCCTCCCCTTTGTTTTGTTTATGTGGAGGATTACATTAATTGTTTTCTAATATTAAACCATCTCTGCATGTTGTCTCCTGAACAGATCATAAAAAATAAAATATAGTTGTTTTTAAGTGTTGTTCAGTTGGTTCCGACCCGTAGTGACCCCGTATAGGATTTCCAAGGAGCAGTTGGGGGGTGTGAACCACCTACCTTGTGGTTCAAACTGACCTTGCGGTCCAGCTTCCTATCCTGTAACCCTATATCAGGACCGACTTTGTCATGATGTTGTTTTTTAAAATATATAGTTGAATTCTATTGGCTAGGATTTGCTGAGAGAATTTTTGCATCTATGTTCATGAAGGCTATTGGTCTATACTTTTCTTATTTAGTGATGTCTTTGTGTGGTTTTGGTATCTGGGGAGTTTTGCTTGCTTCATAAAATGACCTTGGGATTTTTCCATCCTTTTCTATATTCTGGAATACTTTGAGTGGAATTGGTATCAGCTTCTTTCTGAATGTTTGGTAGAATTCACCAGTGAAGCCATTTGGGCTTTGACTTTTTTTAGTTGGAAATTTTTTAATGATTGATTAGTTTCTTCTCTTAGTATGGTGGTGGTGGTTATCTGTTGTTGAGTCATCCTGTATAGGGTTTCTGAGGCTGTGAATCTTTACAGGAGCAGAAAGCCTCATCTTTCTCCTACAGGACCGGAACCGCTGGCAGTTTCAAATTGCTTACCCTAAGATTAACAGCCGGACTTGTAACCACTATGCTACCAGAGCTCCTTTCTCCTGGTATAGGCCTGTTCAAGTTTTCTACTTCAGTCTGTGTTAGTTTAGGTAACAATTCTTCATAGTATTCTATTATTAACCTTTTTAATTCTGTTGTTCTGTTGTGATGTCACTCATATCATTTTTAGTTCCTGTTATTTTTATCTTCTTTTCTTCCTTAGAGTTGCCCAATAGTTTGTTAATTTCCTTAATTCTTTTAAAGAACCATCTTGTTGATTCTTTCTATTATTTTTCTGTTTTCATTACATTTATTTCTGCTATAACCTTTATTTCTTTTATTCTTGTGACAGCAGACTAATTTGCTGCTGTTTTTCTAATTGTTGGAGATGTTGGGTTAACATGTTGGTTTGGGTTCTTAACTCTTTTTGGATGTGTATGTTTATTGCTATAAATTGCTCTCTGAGTACTGCTATTGCTGTGACCCAAAGGTTTGGGATGTTGTGTTTTCATTCGTTTGAATCATAGAATTAAAAAAAAAATTGTTTTTATTTATTCTATTACCTAGTAAGCAAGGTGTTATTAAATTTCCATTTATCTGATACTCTCCCTTGATCTCCCTGTTGTTGACTTGTAATTTTATAGCATTGTGATCTGAGAAGATGCTGTTAAATTTTGATGTTATTAAATTTATTGAGGTGTCTGTTCTGGAGAATGTTCCATGTGCATGGGACAAGAATGTAGTGCTGTTGTTGGGTTGAGTCCTCTGTATATGTCTATAAGGTCAGGTTAGGGTTGATTATGTTATTAAGTTCTTCCGTGTCTTTGTTGAGTTACTAGTTCTGTATACCAAAAGTGGTATGTTAAAACCTATTATACACTTGTCTATTCCCTTCTAATAGAGTTTCATTTATGTATTTTGCGGCTCTTTCATTGGGGGTATAAATATTCATTATGGTTATGTCCTCTTATTCAGTTGACCCCTTAATCATGATCATGGTTTCATGTCCTTTGTCTAATACGCTGATTTTTGCCTGAAATCTGTTTTATCAGATATTAAAATCGCCACTCCTACTCATTTTTATTATATTTTTCCATCCTTTGATTTTTAGTCTCTCTTTTTGTATGTAAGATGTGTCTCCTATAGACAGCATGTTGATGGATCCTGTTTCTTATTCATTCTGCTCCTCTCTCTTGACTCATACATTTAGTTTACATTCAGTGTAATTACCAATAGGTGTGAATTGATTGCTGTCTTTCTGCTGTGCATATTTTTTTGTGGTGCTGCTGGTGTCTTTATTCCACATAATTTTCTGCACTAAGTTCATTTTGTTTGTGGGTTTTCTTTTCATTTCTGTTGTGTTAGTGTTTACTAAAGCTTTCTGAATATCTTTTTTTATTTTGATATGAAGTTGTGTTAATTTTCTTTTGAGGTTACCCTACAATTTATTAAACCATTTTCCCTCTTTAAAACAGTCTCTTTTATCTTAAAATCTGCTTAACTTATGAATTAGGTGTTGCCTGTTGCTGCTGCGGCATTGACAGTGTGTCTCATTGGGGGTTTTTCCTCTTTTTCACTTATCCTCCACTTTACTAAGCATAATGGCCATCTTCAGGGACTGGTCCTTCCTGATAGCATGTCTGAAGTATGAGAGATGAAGTCACAGCCTCCTGGGTGTACTTCTTCAAGACAGATTTGTTTTTCTGGCTATCACGGTACTTTTAATATTCTTCTCCAACACAACAATTCAGATGCATCAAATCTTCCCAGGGCCTTCCTTATTCATTGCCCAGCTTTCCTATGCATATAAGGCTATTGAAAAGAACTTGGCTTGGACCAGGCACACCTTACTCCTCAAACTGACATCGTTGTTCTTGAACACTTTAAAAAAGTCTTTTACAGCACAATTGCGTAATGCAATAAATTATTTGATTTCTTGACTGCTGCTTCCATGTGTATTGATTGTGGGTCCAAGCAAAATGAAGTCTTTGACAACTTCAGTCTTTTTTCAGTTTGTTAATTGGTCAGGATTTTCGTATAATAAGATGTACCAAAACCAAAAAACAAATCCCAGAACAGATTGTTGTAACTCGAATATGTCCTAAGTCTAGGACCACCTGTACTGTGTTTTTTTTTTTTTATTGTTATTAAGTGCCATTGAGTCAATTTCAACTCATAGTGACCCTGTGTAGGGTTTCTGAAGAGCAGCTAGTAGGTTTGAACCACCAACCTTGTGGTTTGCAGTCCAGTGCTGATCCTACAGTGCCACATCAGGAGTCCCATTGGGGTCTAGGAGGAGAATAAGTCTCAAGACCATTGGTGAAAGGAGTTTCAAAGGAGTGATGGGGCAGAATGAAGGAATGTCAGGTGAGGAGATGGTGTGTGGTAGCTGGAGATGAAAGGGCAGAGTCTTAGTGTAGAAGGAGGGTTTTGCTTCAATAGATAAACACATGAGCCACGTTGTTTTCATATGAGAAGGACCCAGATGAAAGAGTGACTGAAATTGATGGAGAAGGGGTGGTTGATTCTAAAGCAAAGGTCCTGGGGAGCTGGGAGGAGTGAGATTCAAAGCATAGTTGGAAGGATTGGGTTGCTGATAGGTGGGAATTGTGGGCAGTAGCTCAGTTTTCTCATGTCGGCGGCTACCCTTCTCTGTGTGACACTCAGGCTTTATAGTAGATTTGTAGGGCAGGTGCCTGTCAGCGTCTTCATAATTAGTTGTCTGTTAATCGTCACCTTCTATATTGAGCTTTAGGGAAACTGAGAGGGTAAATCCTTGGGCCATGATGGTCTGCTTAACCTAGCGACCAGCAACATGATACAAAATGATTCTTGGTCCTGTAGGAGTTTCACCAAGAAATAGTGGAAGTGTTATGTGGCTAATTGTTTCAGTAGCTGGTCCCATCTGTGGGATGAGGAATACTGAATGCTGTTTGTTTTACACCTGATAAACTTGAATCCTTTGTTTCCCTTGCAGAGGAAGTAGCCAAATTGGAGAAGCACTTGATGCTTCTCCGAAAAGAATATGTCAAGCTGCAGAACAAATTGGTAGAATCAGAGAAGAGATGCACTCTTTTAGCTGCACAAGCTGACAAGGAAAACAGCAGCGAGTCCTTCATCAGCCGCCTGCTGACAATCGTGGCAGACCTCTATGAGCAGGAGCAATACAGGTGAGCTCCTGGATCTGGGCTAGTTGGGGAAGCAAGCCCTTCTTGTTTTATTCCTAGCCTCATTGACTCCGTCCCATATGTATTTGTAGGTGATCACAGGCTATGTCAGCAAACCTGTATTGAAGCATGGATTTTTGTCTTTGTTATTCATTGCTTATCTTCAGCAGACTGTGAGCACCATGGTGCTAATGTCTCTAATACAGAGAGAATTAGCTATGACTTACCTATTCAGAATTTACAGAGGAGAGGTCACTTTCTTTTGGGGCAGTCAGAGAATGAATCTTAGCACCTGTGGCAGTGTAGCATGATGGCTGAGACTTGATGACACCAGCAGTCCAAACCAAAGCTACTTCTGTTGAGTTGATGGTGACTCATGGTTACTCTGAAGGACAGCAGAACTGCTTTGCTTTATAGGATTTCTAAGGCTGTAAATCTTTATGGAGGAAGATGAGCTCATCTTTGTTCTTGGAGTGGCTGGTGGGTTTGAACCACTGGCTTTTCATTTAGCAACCCAATGCTCAAACCATTGCACCACCAGGGCCCCTTAGGCTTGATGCTAGATCTGAAGCTATATGATAAGCCTCAGTAAAAACGAGGATAGTATTAATATTAGTTTGTTGTGAGAATTAAAGACTGGCAGGGTTTAATAGCTAACGATCGTGATATTACTAATAAGGAGATTGGCTGAGAAAAGGCTTGTTGTTGTTAAGTACCATGAAGTGGGTTCCAACTCACAGTGACCCTGCACAGGGTTTCCAACGCTGTAAATCTTTACAGGAGCAGAACGCCTCATCTTTCTCCTGTGGAACAGCTGGTAGTTTCGAACTGCCGACCTTGAGGTTAGCAGCCTGATTCGTAACCATTATGCTATCAGAGCTCCTTGAGAAAAGGCGTAGAGGTGGGAAGATGAAGGAGATTTAGAGGCCAGTGAGGGGCCAGTTTAAGGTAGATGTCCATTTAGGGAAGCAGTGGAGAATGAAAGAAAGAATGGATTGCATTTAGGATGCCAAGGTGAGGAGTTTGCATTTGATCCTCTGAAATACAGAACAGAGTTGTGGAACTCTCAGAACTCATGTGGTGTATTAGGAAGACAATTGAGTGACACCATGTAGATGAAATTGTAAAGAGAAGAGATGAAAGATGTGCTGTGGTGAATAGCCCAGGTTGGAAATGGTAAAGGACTGAATTTGGATGGTGGCAGTAGATGTGAAAAAGAAATAGGTACGAGAGTATGCATTTAAGGAAGAATTTGTCTTCCAGGGAAATGGATGATTGGACCAAATAAGACTTATAGTCAAGATTTCAAAATAAATGATAACGTTTAAAAACAGATCTGAATCCAGGAGTGTTACCTACCATCTTGATTATTTCTAAAAGAAAGAATATTTTGATATCTAAAAAACTTTTTAAAATGATGGACTCTGAATAAAGAGAAGTCTTTAAATTGAACAGATGTAACTTCTTGTAAAATTCAGTTCAGCATCTTTTTTCACTCTTTTTCCATGAACAAGTGCATAACTGTTGACTTTTAAAGCAGTTTCTCATTTTACCATAAAACATAGAAAAAATGTCTTTATCCCATTAAGCCCACATTAAAACAAATAAACTTTTTATTGTGCATTGAGTGAAGGTTTACAGAGCCCATCGTCAGTTTTACAGTCAACAAATCATGAGCTTTGTTTCATTACAGTGATTGTAGTCGCCTTCCTGTACCATCAGTTCACAGTATTTACCTCTATTCACTTTAACTCTTGCACTCCTCCTTGTGTCTTCTGCTGTTAAATGGTATCTCTCTCAGTATCAGGAGAAACTTCAGAACAGGTTTATTATGTTTTTGGTGAAAAGATCAACACCAAAGCGCAATCCCATTCATCAATTTTTACCTAAAATACTCACTGGCATTTGTTACGTTCTTTGTCTGTGTTAGCCTTCTCAGTTGTTACATTCTTTGTGTCAGCGTTCTCATATTGATCTAGCGGTTTCACACCCATTAACTTAGTCTCAGTGCTCTCCAAACTTCTTATGTATGCCCTAGAGTAACTGGTGTCTATTTGGCCTCACATAGATACTTTTTAAAAGGTGTGCACTACTCAAGCGTGACATTTTTTACTTAATTGAGCTCAACTGCTATTTAATTTATAAGTGACAGGGATAGTGTTGCTTCAAGGTTTAAAGGCTGTCTCAGGGCAATAGTCTCAGTGATGCCACCAGCCTTATTAGGCCCAGTAACTCTGGACTCCTAAAATAATTCAAAGTTCTCTTCCACAATTTCACCCTTTCTATCCATATCCACCGATTGTGACTCTGTTCTGGACTTTCAGTAGTGGTAGCTAGGGACCATCTAGTTCTGGTCTCCAGGTGGAGGAGCAGTGGCTCATGAAGGCAGTTAGTCTTCTAGTCCAGTTCCTTCTTCGGGTCTTGGGTTTCCTTCTCTTTTGCTGTAGAAGAATAGAGACCAATATTTATATCTTAGATGGTTGCTTACAAGCTACCTCACCAAACCAGGAGGTAGAACATAAGCTTGAAGAATTATGTACCCATCAGTGGAAGAATGTATAAACCAACTTTGGTACATACACAGGGGAATCGTGTGAAACGGTGAAGAGTAACTGAATTTGCAAAACAAATCATAGTATAGATGAACCTGGAGGACATTATGCTGAGTGAAATTGTTGTTGTTAAGTGCCGTCAAGTTGGTTCCAACTCATAGCAACCCTATACAGGCTTTTCGATGAGTGGTTGGTGGGTTTGAACTGCTGACCTTGTGGTTTGCAGTCTAGTGCTTGTCCTGTAGCGCCACACCAGGAGTCCTGAGTGAAATTAGTCAATTACAAAGGCATAAATATTGCATGAGACCTCTATTGTAAAAACTCAGAAGAAGGTTTTCATGCTAAAAGAAACATTCTTTGTTGGTTACTTGGGTGGGAGGGAAGGAAGAATAATTCACTGGCTAGAGGGTAGACATATGTTAACTCGGGTGAAAGGAAGGGCAATAAGAATAGAGAAGTTGGCAGAAGAACGATGAAAACACGGAGGTATGCAAGGGCTAAAGAGCATAGGGGTAAATAGTGTTATATACACTTTGGAACAACGGTGTTTTGCAGGTAGTTATATGGCTGAGTGGGTATGGGAGGCGGAGTTGGGAGTATAACCACAAACATGTAAGGGTTTGAAAGAGGATATTGGTACGTGAGTATTTACCTTTGCTGCAAACACAACTATGGATGTGGTGGAGCATACAATGGGCAGAGTAGTGAAAATGTCTTAGATGTTATCTACCATCCTAAGGCAGTGAGTTTCTGAGCCTGGGCACACAGCACTATAGCTTCAGGGTCAGTTGGCATAACATAGTTCACAAAGACAATGTTCTACATCTTACTTTGGTAAACAGTGTCTGGGATCGTAAAAGCTCATGAGCAGCCATCTAAGGTTACAGCTATTGGTCTTTCCATGTTAAGAAGAAAGAAGAGTGGTCAGAATTGAAGATACTTGGAATCAGTTACTCCAGTGGACTAAAGGAACATGTGAATATCAGTCTTCATGACTCTGAGACCTGAAGAACTAGATGGTGCCAAGGTACCACTACCAACTGCTCTGAAGGGCATCACACTAAGAGGTCCTGGATATAGGGGGAGAAAATGTAGAACAAAACTCAAAATTATAAAAACCAAAAATAAGACTGGACTTACTGGTCAGAAAGAGACTGGAGGAGCCTGAGACTATGACCCTCCACCACCCTTCAGGTCTGGAAATGTGTAAATAAGGAGTGCATCAATACTAGTCAGGCATACTCACCAAGGAATAGTTACTCATTCAAAATCAAAAGAGCAATATTTCACTAAGGACAAGGTTGAGAAGGGGTGGGAAGGGGGTTGGAATGGGAACAGGAGCCACTGGGAGGAAGGAGCTAACTGTTGTTGCCTGGAGAGGATTGTGATCATTGAGATGAAGCAAAGTGTTATGATTTGTTGATTGTGAAACTGATGCTCTCTATCTGTAAACCTTCACTCAATTCACACTGAAAATTAAAATAATAATAATAATATTAGAAAGTAGAAAGAAAGAAAGGAAAGAATTATAGTATGTCAATTTACTGGATTATCCCAGAAAACTATGACTGTAAATCTTCAAACCTAGAAAACTGATTCCATGAGGTGATAATTGTGTGTAAGTAGTCTTAGCATCTATTTGCTGTTGTTGTTGTCAAGTGCCGTCCAGTCGATTCCAACCCATAGTGACCCTGTTAGGGTTTCTGAGGAGCAGCTGGTGAGTTGAACCTCTGACCTTGCAGTTCAAACTTCTTTGTAGTCTGGTGCATTAACCCACAGCTATTGTTGTTGTTTTTATGTGCCGTGGAGTTGATTCTGACTCAGCAACCCTGTACAGGGTTTCCGAGGCTGTAAATCTTTACGGGAGCAGAAAGCCTCATCTTCCTCCTGCGGAATAGCTGGTAGTTTCGAACTGCTGACTTTGTGGTTTGTAGCCCGATTCGTAACCACTACGCTACGTCCCTTTTATTTTATTTTATTATTGTTTTGTTGTTGTTGCAAAATTATATGTAACATTTGTTACTGTGTGCCATCAAGTCGATTCCAAGTCATAGTCACCCATTATGGCCGAGTAGAATGCCCCCTTAGGGTTTCCAAGGCTGTAATCTTTATGGGAGAAGATTGCTAGGTATTTTCTCCCACAAAGTAGCTGGTAAAATCGAACCAAATCTGACCTTTGGTTCTCAGTCCAGGGCTTAACCATTGCACCACTGGAACTCTTTATATATAACATGTTGTTGTTGTAAAGTGCCGTTGAGTTGGTTCAGACTCATAATGACCCTGTATAGGCTTTCTGAGGAGCAGCTGGTGAATTTGAACAGCCGACATTGTGTATCAGTAACATAGCATTTGTCACTTCATCTGTTTCCCTGTGTAAAACTTAGTTGCATATAAGTTACTTGTTAGTGAAGCTGTACAAACATTACCCACATGTGCCTATTTCCTTTTCCATTAATATAAACAGAAAGTGATTCCCTCTTTGCCCCCTTGCCCCAGCCCTGGTAACTCCCAATGAATACTTATCTCTGTAGATGAGGAGTTCTGGTAGCACAGTGATAAAAGTGTTTCATTGCTAACCAAAGGTTGGTGGTTCTAACCCACTCGCCACTCCATGGGAGAAAGCTGTGACGTTCTACTTCCATACAGATTTACAGCCTTGGAGGCCTTACTTTCTCTGCCTTATAGGTTCGCTATGAGTTGGAATCAGTTCTCCGGGTTTGGTTTTTTGATTCCGTATATTTACTTATCCTTTCATTTCATACAAGTGAGATCATACAATATTTGTTCTTTTGTGATTGACCTGTTTCTCTCAGTATGTCTTCCAGGTTCATCCACTTGCAAGGTTAAGTGCCGTTGAGTCGGTTATGACTTATGGTGATCTTATATATGCTTTTCAAGGAGTGGCTAGTGGGTTTGAACCACTGACCTTGTGGTTAGCAGTCCAGTGCTTACCTTCTTTGCAAGGTTAGGTTATAAAATATTTAAATTGAGAAATGTGGAAGGAATTAGTACTTTCATTTTATTTTTACTTAAATTCAGAAGAGGGACTTTTGCCGTATATTATTGTTATATACTGTTGAGTCAGTTCTGACTCATAGTGACCCTGTATAGGGTTTGAAATGCCAACTTAGTGGTTAGCAGTCCAGTGCTTATCCTGCAGTATGATATCAGAGTTCATGTAATGTAGATAAAATGATCATTTTATGTAGTTAGTTATCCATTTAATTCTTTTACAAAGCTTATAATTTTTAAAAAGGAGCTCTGGTAGCGTAGTGGTTCTGAGTTGGGCTGCTAACCTCAAGGTCAGCAGTTCAAAACCAAACCCGGATAATTGATTCCAACTCATAGCTAACCTATAAGGCAGTCCAGACATTCCACAGGAGACAGATGAGGCTTCCGTAAAGATTTACAGCCTCAGAAACCCTATGCAGGGTCGCTATGGGTCAGAACTGACTCCATGGCACTTAACAGCAATAACATAATTTTAAAAGAAAATACTTTATAATTGAGCAGAATGAAATTTTAAAATTACTATTGTTAAGTCATTTATGACTCATAGCAATCCTGTAAAGGGTTTCTGAGGAGCGACTGGTGAGTGAACCTCTGACCAGCTTTGCAATACAGTGCTTATCCTAAAGCACCACACAGCACTCTAGGACCCTAATATACTAGGAGCCTAAATTACTAGGTTCCTAATTATTTCTGTTTTAAGTACTTACAGACCTAACATGTCAGAGATTCCATTTCTAAATTGTTTTTGAAATTATTTGTGAAAATCTTATTTTGTTTTCCTTTGGTATGTTAGACTACAAAAGATAGAAAAAACGTTTGGCCTGACATTCATAAATAGTGATAAAAATTTTCTAGAACCATTTATTTTACAATTTTGTGGTTAAAAGTCAGACTTAGAGTTGAAGCAGGAGAGACACTGATAACCCATTTGAGTTATTAGAATGTAATATTTTGTAAATACATTTAGGATTTTAAAATTATAGTTCATATAAAAAAAAGCCAGCTTCCTGTTTTCATTAGAACTAATAAATGCTCTATGAATATCATAATTAGTTGCAGCTTGACTTTTTTTAGAAAATGTTTTATTGTGAATTATGTGATAGTTTACATGGGAGAACATTAGTTACACATTCATTCTATCGTGTATCGTTTCATTGCCATGGTTGCAGTCCCCTCCATGCATCATCAAACAACCAAAGGGTAGACCCTACAAGCCTGTCCCCCCTCCCCCCAGTCATCAGCACACAGCCTCTCTCCCTCTCTTTGTATAAAGTCCCCAGGCACTCCATCTCTCGATGTCATCCGTCGTCTCTGCCTCCATCTCAGGCATCACTGCTTCTCATGGTAGGGTCCCGCACTCCACTCTTCTCTCTTGATGGTCCCAGGGACCTCCACTCCTCAACTGCAAAGTTAATGACTCCCCTCCTTGCTATAAAACATCTACCTTTACATTTCCCACCCTCACAGTCAATCCTGATAACAATTATTCACTATTGTATCACAAGAGACCTATCCGTATATCCTTTCATCAGCCCCGCCTAGACAGATTGGATACTACTCAGTGGAGATTCTACCTTCTTCCATGCCCTCTGGATCTAGATTCCCTGTTGAAAGCTTGTAAATCAGTCACTTCTTACCTTTGAAGGCCCCACATTTTGGGTAGCCAATGTCTGAGTTGCCCATCCCTGTCTATTCTGTGTATGGAGGGGGTGGGAATG